TTTTATGAATGAATGAACAGAAAACTTCATTTGCCACTTTTCAGCGTTCACAAGGCACAACCAAGAAAAATACGAAAAAAAATAATATAATATATATTATGATATGTTCTTCAAGTTATTTTTGCAGCCGTTTCTTCAACAGATCATCAAAATTTAGAAAAATGTTTCTCTTCAAATATTCTTCTTTGGAAACTCTCACGAATTCGGCCAATCTGTGTGGGCAAAAAAGCCGTCTCTTTCAATCGATGAAATTCATTTTTTTAGTTTAAAAAAAATCGGTGGCCCAACAACTGTGGAAACTTACAAAATCACCCTCTGTCGTATATATATAAACCACAACTCCAGTCAAAATCTCATGTCAAGCCCGCGCGCCAAAGGAATCCCGCCCTGCTCATCTCGACCCTCTCGCGTATTCGACCGAATCGCGCGGCTTCCTCGTCTCATCCTGGCTCCGACGACGACGACCATCGTCAACGACGAGAGCAAACCGCGACGACACACGCGTCACGCAATGACGAGAAGAAGAAGGAAAAATCGAACTTGTGCCAAATCCGATACTTTCATACAGTTGTGGCCTACCAAAAGGAGTCCGCGATCCCCGCGCTGCGCTGCTGCGATGGTCGCATACTTGGGATGGCGTATACTCGCTTCCTTCCCGGAATAAACCAGCGAGACGAGCCTCCTGTGCTCTCCTCCTTATTCACAACCAACCAAAGAAATTGTGACAAAAGAAAATTAAAACATTTAAAAGTATCAAAGTCTCTTTTTAAATTATACTTTTTATTCGTCCTCCAGCAACGAACGAAGGAATGTGACGGAAACGGTTCGCGGGAAAAGAAAGAGGGAGAGAGAGAGAGAAGAGATGGTTCCTGCACTTGGGTTCATGCGGGTGGCGCATGACGGGCGTGTCGTAGTGGAAAGCGAGTTTCCATAATGTTCAAAAGGATTCTAAATGTGCGAAAAGCGTTTCTTTGTATACTATACTGTTGAACTCTTGAGTGTGCTTGTATTTTTTTGCGAAGGAAAAACCAGACGCTCTGAATTTATTTGAATGCTTCGAGAAGGAATTTAAAACAAGAATTATTCGCTTCGTTCAGTGCAGAAGTGCTCGCAGACGGTTCCGGTACTGGTTTTTTTCCTGAATGCACTCCATCTTGTTCTCCGGTGCTTTTCTTCCCGTTCTTTTCTGACGATGGTATCCAGAATAAAAAAAAATAAATTCGACAGCTGACAGCAAGGGACATTATACCCGCACGAAAGGAATAACAATCAAACATAATATGCTGTTCTAAATATATAGAATGTTGTAAAAGTTGTTTTCTGTCTACTCGACTCAATTCTCATGACGAGATGAACAACTTCCGCTGGATCAGCATTAGTGAAGAGTGAAGACGTATCCACGCAATGCAAGTGCTTAAGAACTGTGCATTTTCCAGCTTATTGTTCACGAGTGAATTATTTATGATGAAACACCTGACATTTCCATGGTGCGTGATTTTCTCAACATCAACAAGTGTTTTCTGATACTGTACCACGGAAAATTAATCAGCAAAGAAAAACACCGAAATGGCTTGTTCAAAGAACCAAAAATTCTGCTTACGCCCCCACAGATTCATGACGAATATCATCCGAGATATTTTTTAATCTTCATCGAGAATATTCGGAATAGGCATGTGAGGGCTTCAGAAATACACGCAAAACGCCCACGCTTCCGGTGTCGTCGAATCTTTTGGCAAGGGAATTCGAGGGGTTTTTATACGCTTGGTTAGTCTTGGGATGAATCGCGGGCAATCCAGAGTTTTCAATTCAGAGAAGTCTCGTTTCAAAAAACATATGACTTAGAAAGAAGTATAACGAAATACTTTGTGAGCCTTCATCCCTGAGTCCTGAACCATCTCCCAACCTTTGCTAGTTCATTTTGAATTGTGTGGAGGAAACCGAACATTTAAACTGAACCCCGAACCCTGCGAATAAGCAGGTTCATCTGCCGCATTTTAAAATAACATAACAATATTCAGCTGCTGGTGTAAGTGCCATCACATACAATATTTAAAAAATAAAATTGAAAGCTCTTTTTGGGATGAGTGTCCAAGAGCCAAAAGTATATTCCATGAAATTAATCTTCTGATGTTTGCATTTTTCATGTTTTGGTAATGTTTCGGTTTTGCTGGAATTTCAATTGTTAAACAAGAAGTTGAATATGTCAGGAATCCAATTGAAGAAAACCTACAGGTAATTAACAGAGGTTTACTTCGCATTGATACAGAGGTTTTCAGGATTCTAACTAGAAAAACGTGGCGTTCCTTCTGACAAAACCTTTCGCGATCTCTTGGATGAATAGCGTTGAAATTCCATCCGTGTTTTTATTTTTGAATCCTAATTGGCTTTGAAAAAAAAAATCATTCATATAATTCAAAGGCTATATATAGGGATCCATCTCATAGCATGAATGTTCCACATTGAGTCACGAAATTGCAATGAATGAATGAATGAACAGAACACTTTATTTGTGGTTCAATCAAGATTTCCACAACCAAACCCCCTTCCCACCCAAATTTGCAACAACAAAAATAGGATAAGTTGAAGGCCATAGATTTATTTTTCTCCGATTGAAAAACTTTGGCAGATGAACCCCTGTACGCCGCCCGCCGCCCCCGCTTTCCTTCCCATGCAGTTCCCACCGGCACCAGAAAAATTCAAAGCCTCCCTGTTCTTCCGTTTCTCATCCCAGTTTTCTTCTTTCATTTTGGAGGATCCTAGGATAAAGAGAGAGAGAAAGACAGGGAGAGAAGGAGAGTGATAAAACCCCAAGGGTCACGAGTACGCAGTCGCCGACGCCAATGCGGGAGGGGGTCTTATTATTCTCATTTTTTTTCTTCTTCTTCTTGCTAGCGACGTGCAGCGTGACCCGACCCGACCCAAGTGCGTGGAAGGAAACGGCGCGGGGCCTCACAGCAATCCGCTGGCTCTTCTTGTGCTGGCACGCCGCTGACGTGGTCCAAGACTTATTCCTCGCTCATCCTTCCCCCTTTTCCCTTTCTCGTGCTAATTCGTTCTCTTCTTTCTGTTTGATGATTCACACGTACCTTCCACACCACATGATGCGAAAGGAACTGCAGGGCGGGAGAGAAAAATGAGGGGGGCGAAGAAATTTAGTATATACATTTCTTCTTTCTTTTTCAACTTGAGGTAGGAAGAGGGGGGCGCATCCGCACAGGTTCTGCGGAAGTCGCGTGAGCAAAGTCACAAGACCTCCTTGTGCCTTTCGGATATACGTTCGGAACATTGGGTTCCCGTGGGTCACACTACCGTTCGAAGGATCCTTGACGCCTATTGGGAAGTTTCCTCAGGTACACTTAGTGAACCCTGCCGTTTAAAAGAAAAAAAAGGTACCGGTACCGAGGTCCAGTGCTTCAGTGCGTGGCCAGTGATTTATTCGTTCGGTGATTCCGATACGTTTCCACTCTCGAAAATCTTCGTTTCCCTCATTTAAGTATCCGAACATTGCGTCACTCAATTTCACATTGACGTCAAAAATCAGGCTAACAATTAAGCAGAAAAAAAAGAGTTGCTTTGAAGTTCGTTCAAGTATTCATGCTATTCGTCATTGCGATTGCTTCTGGATGGATGGAGAAAACAATAGACTAAGCTTAAAAGTGTATAGAATCTTTCTGAAATATTTGAGCTAACGCATTGAAAAAAAAACATTAGTTCTAAGCTCATCAAAATCCCTTAGAATTGAAGACTAATTTGATGTTTTAATTTGCATTTATACAACCATCACGCGCATTTGAAATGTCTTGGTTCTGCGTACGTGTGAATGATTCTAAAAGATACTGTACTCTAAAATTCTATTAATGATCGTAAAAATGTCGTTGGAGCCTCATATTGAACGTAATCAAAAGATAATTCAATGAGCTTCGACTCGACTTTTTTCAAAATTATTCAGCCAAAATGTCAATATGCATTCAAAAGATATCACAATTCCAAAAGCAGTCACTCGTCTTGGTCCCCGACGAACATCTTGAGCCGAAGAACTCATCTGAAGATTAACTTGGCATGTTAATGTTTCCGAGGGTTGTCGGAATCGTTTCCTTGAAAGGTTGTCCTAGTTCCGTGCGCCTTCGAATGCTTCATCATACAATTTAAATTATCGGGATATATCACAGTTTTATAATCAATATACTTCGCTTTTGTGATCCACCCAATACTTGAATGCACAAATTTCAATCAAACACTTATTTCTAGTAAAGGAAGTTCCCAAACTCAAGTAAATAATGAGCACTTCGATCAAAGTGTGAGGAAGAGATTCAGCCGAGACTTACTTCCAAAAAATGCTCGCGATCGCAAAATTTTGAACTTGCGGTTCAGCAACTTTAATGCTACTTCTCAAATTCAATAAACTCATCATTTTAATCCTCATCCCGCCAAACGAATCTACGAAGAAAAAGTTGTCGGGGTTTTATTTTCTGAAAAAAAACACGCCTGAGGTCATCAAACTGGCAAACTCCCATGTTTCATAGCTTGAACAAATGAGTATGATTCGCATTCTAGTCCAAAGACAAACAAGTTTGCCTAATATTGATAGGTAATTAGAAAGGAAGAGAGAGAGAGAGAGAGAGAGAGAGAGAGAGAGAGAGATGAGAGAGGGAGGGGGAGAGAGAGAGAGAGAGAGAGAGAGAGAGAGAGAGAGAGTCGCTGACTTTACGGTCATAAAAAACAATAAATCGTTTGAAAATAAGAAGTTTCCGAACTCTCAAGATGCAGTGTCTCCATGTGAAAAATACGGCATTTTAAAATTTCGAAAAAGTGTTCTCGAGCCCAATTTTCGCATGACCGGTGATTTCCTGGGGGGAAAAAATCTCAACCCTTTCATAACCGTATTTCAAATCATAAACGCTCTTCCCACTTCCGCGCGTTGCCTCAAAATCACACTCCCAATTCCTTGAGCTCACTTGTCATCCTCATCTGCAACGAATAAATTCAATTTCACTCCACAGAAAAAAAAACAGGGAATTTTGTTCGTTAAATCGCGTACAGCGAGTGCCGAAAATTAACTGATCGCGAAGAAGAAGAAGAAAAACAAATTATTGGTCGAGAAGTTGTCTTCGCGTGGAACGTGAGTTTGTGGCAGCAAGCATGGATCGAGACAGGTCTACGATCACGTACAGTGAGATGAAGCCCATGCGACATTTGGACGTGGGGGAATTTCCAGACGACCGCGAAGGGAGGTCCAAGTCTCCTTCCCTGGGCGGGTCAAATGACGACCTCACTTCTGGCTTGCTGTACGAGCGTCCGAGAACGCGTCACGTAAGTGCTGCCGTTTTCCCCACACTCAACACTGCATATTCCTCTGCAATGCATGGATGCAAAAAAAAAATTCAATAAGGAAACGCAGGATTATTTACACTTCCATGGCAAAGGGTTCTTTCCCATCCCAGGACTAACTCAGGATTTTTATTGATCCCATTTTATTGATTCTTGAACTGCATTATTCAAAAATAATAACATCCAAATTTGAATTTAAACAAAATTTGTGAAAAAATTTGACTAAGTTTCAACTGTTTTCATTAAAACAAGATATTCTATTGGAATTGAAAAAATATTCTTTTAAAAGGACTAAAGGTTACGGGTATATCAATTTATAGGTGCTCAAAACTAAAAAACAATCTTGCCTGCAGAACGTCAGACGTCGTACCTTCTTTGCAATAAATTTATTGAGAATCGGAGGATTCGGTTGATTTCTGTATGCATGTCTCAGGAAAAAATTTGATACAGCAGGTGCCCTTGAACTCTTTCAATGGAAATCGCGATTATGAACTGCACACTCGAAGCTCATAAGCGCAATTATTGAAGGATTTGTTTGATTCAAATTCAGAAAGTTTAGACATCTTTATGAAAAAATACTGCTTTCATCAGTCGGAAGCAATCGTGGACCTCACTTTCGAATTTAAGGATTTGTCATAAGTGAGGAAAGAATAAAAATCCCGATGCCATTGAATATTGGACGCACGCTCATTTTTCGATAGTTCTCAGATTAAAAAGCATCTCATACTACTGCATTTGATTAATACCTGACTTGTAACTCCGGAAATTCTAGGAAGGAGATGGGTGGTAAATGAATTTAAAGGATTGAATTGCAGGGGTAAACAACAACGCAGATCATTGAGTTTCTTGAGTTCATTTTGCTGATCGAGTGCATTTTACGGATTCTCGGATTTATGGACGGAAATTCAAAAGGGGAAAAATGAATTTTAAAAAAAAGTGATACCATTCGCATGTTATTCTTGCAAAAATACATGCGTACCGTATTTTTATTCCTGAAAAAAACTGCCTCAACTATAAGCATCAACGAGAGGAGGAGCTACAGACAGAAGCGTGCTCTCTATCGATAATGCAGGACAACCGCAGCTTCCAGGAGTATAAAAAATTTGTTTTAGATGTCGCTTCATCAAAATTTCATAGAACAATACTGTACTGTACTGGGGATCCTCTATGAGTCTATGTATATCAAACCCACAGTGATCAGCGACGCAGTCTCCCTTTTTCAGCGATTTATCAGTGTATGATATGCCTCTGAAATATATCTAGAAATCTAGAAAATTCATCTCGAATAGCAGCCGAAAACAGCGTCCAATACGCACACAACGAGCTTCTTATAGTGAGCCTTCACATCATAATAAGCTAATGCAGTGTTTCCCAACCGCTGGTCCGCGGACCAGGGCCGGTCCGCAGAAGCTTTTTGCCGGTCCGCAAGAAATGTTTAGCATAATACATTCATCAAAAGCAGCGACAAACTTTGTTATATCTACAATAAGGAAATACAATGGCCGTTGAAATTATTCAACAAACAATAAAAGTTTGCTTTTCTTCTTCCAACACTTCAGCCAACTTCTCATCTGTTGAAATTAATTATTTCAAGTTTTCAATCCAAGAAAACTTCCTTCATGTCCACTTTTCTGAGTTTTTGATGACATTCAGCCATAGCTGCTTCATTGGCAATGAACTTATTTTTTTGCAAAAAGGCAGAAACTTTCAAATACCTGCCAGCATAAAAAATTTCAAGCAAAACCTAAATTTTATGAAACCTTGCTGGTCCGCAGAAACGTTTTTGAGAATTTGCCGAACAGTAAATAATTTTATGGAAATTCCTCTGTCTGTTGACCAAAAAAGGTTGGGGAACACTGAGCTGAAGTACCAACCTTGTGTATGAACAGGCTTCGCACTTGAAGACTTTCATGACATTAACTGGAGGTCTTATGACTGGAGGTCTTATCAGAAGTACGTAAAAATACTGTACAGTATACGAAATAGATGCATACCGTGCTCGAAATACGCACGTTCAAAGAGACCCGCGTTTTGCTGAAGTCAGCGAAAGGTACTCCACTTTAAATCGAAGGAAAAGTACGCAGTATTTATTTTTCCTACGAGGAACGCAGTCATAAATGCACTACAGTATTTCGATTGTTACTTCCATGCGGCACAATTTCACAAATCTGATGCATTTCATCTGTAGTTAAGAAAGTCCACTGATATGTTTCGAAATTTGAAGGTTATTTTCATCTTGACCTAAATTTGGTGAATGAGACGTAGATCGGATTGCAGTTCCTTGGAAATCTTGAGGTCTTGAAACCGCTGTAAGTCTAAAGGCTGAACGAAATTTTTAAAAACATCCGTGCCTCATTGTTAGACTATTTATTTATATATTTATTTATTTATACTTCATCTGGACATGGTTGCGATTAGATAAGTCTACGTCACGAGCTTCGCGATNTTCACATCCTATAAGGGAAGTCGAGCTTGAAATTATATTTCTAAAGCTATTTCATTATTTCAACACTGAACAGAACATGAGTTGGATCGAACCGGTTGCCAGAAATTGTTGAAACACACCATGAACGTTAGATTCTGCATTTTGGAGCGTACATGCAATCCTATCTTCGTTGACCGGAATTTTGAACACGTCATTTTTCATCAGAACCCCCGGGACTGCAGGATAGATTTCAAATAATTAAAAAACAATCAACTTACATGAGATACCTGAAGATGAACGAAAAATAAAATTATGATTTTTGAACCTTTGAAAAGACAATTTTGAACCATCCATTGAAATGATTGTGACAGGAATTCTCAGCAAATGGAAAGACCTTTGGGTGGATTTGGGTTAGGAGGGGAAGTGCTTTTGGATGTGGGAATGTTGTGTGAACCTTGTGAATGCTATAAAGAGCAGAAAATAAAGTTTCCTGTTTCAATTCAATTCAGTGGAAAGGCGGGCACAGTCGACTACACTTCAATTTGTTCCAGAACTAAATCCAGGTTTTATTAAGAAATGAATGCTTGAGTTGAAAAATCCATGTTGAAAGCATAGAATAGCTCATGAACCGTTTTTAACCGCTGAAAATATGGATAATAGGAGGCCTTGAGCAACAACCTGAACCGTTCCAGCTGCCTGTTCGTTGCTCAAGAGTCAAGACGTTTAGCGTTCAAGTCATGATATCTGATGATACGTTTTCAAAAAGGGGTTAATAAGGCAAACAATATGTGATAGTATAATAATCGTAAATAAAATTCACAGGAAAAGATAGAAAAATGATGATGCACGAAGTAAAGAGCATCTGCTAAGCACTATCACTTGAAAGTGATTTATTTATAGAAGCATTTGGGAGCAGAAACGAAATTCGAATTCCCTACAATTTCAAAGCCTCCGTACAATTTCTCTCAGTATTCCCCCATGGAAATACAATTTAAAACAAGTAGAATTTTCTTATTTTTGTGCTTTCATAGAAAATCGCACCCATTAAAAAATTCATAAATTGTTTATAAAAAACGTTCCGCAGCTGCGACTGCAGAGTTCAGACCAAAGTTGTTTTCCATCATCATTCCTGCGTCTTCCTTCCAAGGGTATAACCGGAAAGATGATGATGATGAGAGCTTCAGAAACTCATAGTCACCTTATTTTTGATGCATAAACTGAATTTAATTTCTAAAAAGAAGAAACAATGTGCTGGTCGCGGTTTTGTCAATCCACAACTTCTCGTTTCCATGTTCATTTCCCGTGAAAGTGAGTCGCAAATAATACGGTGGTGGGTCACTCACATGTCGGATAAAGATTTGAAGAGTAATTGCCTAAAATGAAGCCTTAAAATCATATTTTGTAGTCATACAAAATAATGAACAATAGTATTACAATGAAGCATTAAAATCATTTTTTGTAGTCATCCTGAATGTTCATGAAGAAGACGATGTCTTCCGTGTCCCAAAATTTGCGGCGGGGTGAAAAACGGCACTTTTGATACGTTTGAGTCTGGAAATGAAATGAAATGTTGCTTCAAATGCACGCAGAAGTTCATTGGAGTTCGTGACGAATACGAGCACTTCGAGTTTATTCAAAATCGTGGAATTATTTGTCCTTGCTGTAATATTCATACAATATTAAAACTCCCCGGACGCATTCAATCATTTTTTTCTCGCGTGAGTCTGGAAATACTGCTCTCATTACATGCTCAACACATGGACCCAGGAACAAAGGAAATGGAGATGAATCAGTGTAAAATAAAAATAACATTGTGACTGTGATCGGCGTCTACCCGTATCAACATTCAGTAAATTTCATTTAAAAAATTAAACAATAAAACCATTCATTCGCATCAGCAAAAGTTTTTTTATTGCGTATTGATGGTTTTGGACACACGTAAAATCTAATTGCAATAATATCTTCCGCATAGATCTGTCATGTGAGGTTGAAGCATGCTGTTTTTTTTTTACTGCCTAGCGATTTTTGCACCATTTATTTTTATTTCCTCAGTGGAACTCATGATCCTATGCTCTATGAGTCTATGGTCTCATATCCGTTGAGAAATGACGGAACTTATGAATGAAAAAAAACTAATTAGTTCCTGCTCCTTTTTCCTGCCCAGGAATTTTAAAAGAATCTGATATTATTTATTATTTCGATAGAATTATACGCTACTGAAAAATTCCTATAGTCCGAAACAAACCCTTGAATATATTTTTTACTATCATTAGAAGAAATTACTATGCAAAAAGAGTGTATAATTTTGCAGCTATTGCGTGGGAATGGAGTGCAGCGCCCGCGCGTGAATCTTGCATTCATTCCTTTATTGCCATGCTCCGATAATTTACAAGTGGATATGTTGCTTTGAAAAACAGAAAAAAATTATTTTCAAGAATAACCTCAGACATTTTGATCAAAAAGTGAATTCTACACCTACATCGATGGACCATAAAATGCATGCAAAATGCATAGTTTTTCTTTCGTTCGATTTAAACAATCGCTGAATTTCGCGAACTATATTGCGACGATCGAACGCATTTGCTGGTGTATTGCCGCTTTCAGAATTTGTGTGAATCTGCGAGGAATATGCGGAGCAACATCCAATATTTTTCGATTCATAAAAACCGATATTTTCGTGCACTTTGAATCTGAAACTTTCCATCAATTGAAATTTTAATTTCAATGCAGATCGATTTTTTTTCTTTCTCTCAAAAAAAGGAACTCACGTGTCTCGTGCATGCGTGGGTTAAAAATCTGTTCGTCGAAACCAAGGACGCCTTTACCCCACACAGTTCCATCAATGTATAAATTGTACCATCTTTTCTCGCTCCGTTTTTCGGGAGTGTAAAAAATAATAAATAAATAAATGATGAATAATATAGAACCTGGGTCCACAGCAGAGAGACTTCTTCCATTCGACGCGATAAGCGACGAGGTTTCCCATATTACAAGACCTTTATTATTATTGCTTCTGGTGCTGGTGGGGACTTGAATGTGCCCGGTTCATTGCTGTGGGCTGATTCATCGCGAGCAGCTGAACAGCCGCTGAATAAGCGCAAGAACCAAATAGCTAGAGACCCGGCACCAAAGGCAGCTCACTTACAGCAAACACACACAAATGATAACCTCTCATGGAAATTACAAATGTATTAAAAAAAACGAGGAATAAATA